GGGGGGTCAAATTTACCTCACTCTATTTTCTTTTTGTGATGCAAATATATAGCGTTTTTGGAAAGCCAAATTCTGAATGAATAGGAAAGCTAAAATCAAAGTTCTCTCTTGTACCACAGAAAGCTTTAGAACTGGTGTAAAAAGGTTTTAAGCATTTTTATTTTCAAAAAAGAACCTCAAAGTTTTACCCTTACTAGAATTATCATTAGAAAAAGTAAAAGTTATATATTTGGCATGTCTATCTATTTGATTTCAAATAGAGTTTTCATGGATCAGTGATCATTTTGGGTGGTCTTTTTCGTTATATCTATTGCTTGTGTGTCTATTTGTTTACTTGTTTATTTGTTTGTTTGTTTCCAATAAACGTCAAAATGGCTGAACCGATCGGGCCTTGCGAGACCCCATGGGAAAGGTTTATGGATGATCGAATTTTCAAAAATTTGCCTCCTACATAAAATTTGTTTTGAATTTGATTATTTCTCTTGTCTATTGATCTCTAACTTATGCAGATCAAGCATTGATCTCTAACTTATGCAGATCAAGTATAGATCTCTAACTTATGCAGATCAAGTATTGATCTGTAACTTCTGCAGATAAAGCATTGATCTCTAACTTATAAATAGATCAAGCATTTATCTCTAACTTATGTAGATTGAGCATTGATCTCTAATTTATGCAGATCAAGAATTGATCTCTAACTTATGCTGATAAAGCATTGACCTCTAACTTATGCAGATCGAGCATTGATCTCTAACTTATAAATAGATCAAGCACTGATCTCTAACTTATGTAGATCGAGCATTGATCTCGAACTTATGCAGATCAAGCATTGATCTCTTACTTATGCAGATCAAGCATTTATATCTAACTTATGCAGATCAAGTATTGATCTGTAACTTATGCAGATCAAGCATTGATCTGTAACTTATGCAGATCAAGCATTGATCTTTAACTTATGTAGATCAAGCATTGATCTCTAACTTATGTAGATCGAGCATTGATCTCTAATTTATGCAGATCAAGAATTGATCTCTAACTTATGCCGATCAAGCATTGATCTCTAACTTATGTAGATCGAGCTTTGATCTTTAACTTATAAATAGATCAAGCATTGATCTCTAACTTATGTAGATCGAGCATTGATCTCTAACTTATGCAGATCAAGCATTGATCTCTAACTCATGCAGATCAAGCATTGATCTCTAACTTATGCAGATCAAGCATTGATCTCTAACTTATGCAGATCGAGCATTGATCTCTAACTTATGCAGATTAAGCATTGATCTCTAACTTATGCAGATCAAGCATTGATCTTTAACTCATAAATAGATCAAGCATTGATCTCTAACTTATGCAGATCAAGCATTGATCTCTATGCAGATCACACGGAATAATTTAATTCCTCATACATATCCCGTGGCACTCTCAACTAAACGATACAATATCTTCGGTCAGTGTACTGCAGAATACACATTATTCACCGAAAGCTAAGTTTAGGCTGGTATAACCTAAAGGAATTGAGTCTTTGTCACAAACTCAACATTTCTAATCCCCATATCTATGTTGTAGACTTTTGATATTTCAAACTAAGATAATTTGATGCAACATAATTCATAGCTTGAAATATCTAAGGTCTACGACATTGGGTTGCAGAGATATAGGAATTAGAAAATCAGAGTTTGTGTCAAAGACTCAATTCCTTTGTTTAGAATTAAGACTAACTTTAGACAGCGGAGAGGTTTTTAAAAAAAAAATTTCATCATAATTTTGTTCTATTTTTCTTCAGATGAAAATGAAGAAGAGTTTAATAGGCACCTCTAGCTCTGTAAACCCTCTGCTCCAATCAGGTTTAAAGAGACTGTAAGCGTAATTTCAAGTAACCCTTCATGCAAAGATGGCAATGCCTGATTTATAATGGTACCCTATAAAAAGCTTTGTCTGAACAAATACTAATTATATATTCATGCTTTTATGTATATAAACTATTTATTTTTATTTGTGGTTTCTTTGCAAAAGTGACTCGCGCATTTCTTGCTCATAAGAAACATTATAGGTACAATCAGAGTTAAACACTTTTCGACTAAGAAAAAGACGTTATCTTCCGCATTTTTATCAGATTAAGGTTTCAAGGGTACCGTTGTAAATCCGGCGTTGCTATCTTGGCACTTAAAAAATACGCTTACAGTCCCTTTAAGAAATCAACATTTAAATATCTTGCTGCTACTTTCTGTAAATAAGGTTTCCATCGAAACCAAGATTTTTTGCAATTTTCTTAGAATTTGCAAAAAGAAACCAGCACGCAGAAAAGTTTTTGCAAAATTCGAATTGGATTTAACTCAGATCTTGTATTATAGTGCAGGAAAATGTTGACTTTTTAGATTTTTTTTAATTTTTGGAGAAAAAAACTTTTCTCCATCATCTTGTAAATCATTTAGTTTTGACATTGACAAAAGGATCTTTGATCTAGAAATATCATCTTATTAAAAATTTGTATATTTTCCATAAATATTTAGGAGAACTAGAATCAGAAAGGAACTTGAACAAAAAGGTGAATAGTAATTTCAAGTGACCCTCCATCAGACCCACAGCCACAACGTTACCTTTAAACGTTTTATTTAATCAAGAATGATAACATGGTTTTCGTTTTTGAAAACGTTTTATTTTTATATGTGCTGTAAAAGTGACTTGCGTATTTCTTGCATGCTTCAGAAACAATTGAGAAATTATTAGAATTAAACACTTTCATGTTGGTAAATGTATCTTCCCCTAATATTGACCAGATCAAGGTTTCAAGCACAGACTAGATAGATACAGCTTTCACAGGCTGGGCTAAGTAGGTCTGTAGTTGTAACGACATGCAATATTCTTACAAAATGTTTTTGACTGCCATCTAACAGCCTATTGTAGCATATAATACCCCTTCAAGGGTTAAGTTTTACAATTTTTAAAGAAATACTCTAACTTTTACCATGAAACATAAAATTTATGAGTTTATTCTATTTATGAATGTTTTGTATTTCATATCCAAAGAATCCTGAAATATCAATGAAAACAGACCAAGAAATGATAGTTCTCTATAACCATAGAGAATAGAATATATAGAGAGGAATTAAAAGAATCTCTCGGTTAAATGTTAGAAATATCCATTTAGATCTCTTTTATTTTATTATAGTGACTTTTAAAGTCAACAACTATAGGTTAGGCCAAAATCAACTTATAATAAACAAATATGCAGTACGCTCTCGGTATAGTTTATGGTCTATACAATTAGTAAAGGATTAGCGTACATCATCAATCTACACTATAACCTTGTTGATACAGACGTATGTTTATTGGTTGTGTACTCCAGTTGTACACAATGGAACCTGCTTTGGAAAATATCGCATATTCTAGTCTGTAATCATAGAGTATAGAATATATAGAGAGGAATTAAAAGAATCTCTCGGTATGAATTTTTTTCAGTCCCTTTTAGCCTGAAAGGGAGTTCAAAGTGTACAAATCATGTAAATGTTCACAAATTATATGCAGTAGAGTACATTAATACAGTATGTTCCCTAGACAATCCATTTCAATTTCGAATTTTTTAAACTGTTAAATAAACTTTATAATGAATTAGGTGAATAAAAACATCATTTGATTTATAGTTATAACGGAAAATCATCGTTTGTAAAGTGGAAGGCATAGAGTCTATGCGAAATGATCATTGGTCATGAAACCAGCCTATTTCATAATTTGGTTTTCTTTCAACAATAATTTTAGATTTTCTATAAAATGATATTCCAGGGCACAACAGGTTAAATAGCATAAATATGTAAAGTACACCTGCAGTATGGAAACAGTACAACAAAATGGCCGTTTTACTCTTTTTTCTAGTAAATTCCTCTCTATATATTCTATTCTCTATGTCTGTAATTGATCTTAGTACTCGCTTATCTCTGGATTTACTCGAAATTACGACTACAGCTCCTTATATAAGAAAATATTTTAAAATTTAGAATTCGCCCTCCTGAAAGGAACTAGATCCAAAATGCAATGTTAAATTTGTAAACATTATCTATTCAGCTTCTTAATTATTTGAATTAAATCAGACTTTGTCATTCATAAATTTTTTCCAAACAGAAAAAAAATTTCCTTTTCTTTGATAAGCTCTACATTTGCGGTTAAATATAATTATATTAGTACAAACAAATACTAAAATAAAATAAATACTTCATTTCTTGTTATATTATTGTAAGTGGGATCTGAAAACTATTCCTTGGGAGTTTTATCAAATGGAAATGTAAATTCAACATACAGGGTGTCCCAATAAACATGGGAATTCAGTGACGAATTTGATATCGTCTTTTAAAATAATTCTTTGTTTAGTATAGTGATACCTACTGAGAAAGCTGTTATCCGTAAGATTTTTGTCTTCTATGTTTACAATTTGTACAATTTGTTCTATGTTTACAATTGTACTTAGTAAAAAAAGAAAATTACAGTATACAAACACTGTTCATCTTGCGGAAACATTATAGACATATTTTTACAGCCATTTACCGTTTGCATAATATAAACTCTAGCAGACATAATTATATTATGGCTTTTGAAGTTAGGTATTACAATGTTAATTCATAACAAAGACGATATCGAATTCGTCACTGAATTCTCATGTTTTTTGGGACACCTGTATTCTATAAAGGCATATCCTATTCACAAAGTTACCCATTAAACCTTTGTCTGATTGAAGATGACGGAGTTATCCCTTTTTTCCTTCTCAGACAATATTGATCACTTTCAGTTGCGGTTTGTTGTAAAAGTGATTTGCGTATTTATGCAGCAAGAGAAAAGGAAATAACACAGAAAAATTATATCTTTTTAAAATTGAAAAAAGGGCATTGTAGTAAATCCGAACCGTAACGTTATAAATTGAGGCTCACTTAAAATTATGTCAACGGTCCGTTTAATATTTAAATTATAAGACCAGGTTTAATGAACTAATCCAGTTTTCTATAGTGCGCCTAGGTAAGCTGCAAAATGGCGCTTCAACTTAGTCTAAATATTAATTAAATACATGGTCCCAATGATGTGTAAACCTCTGATATTCAATCGTATTTAAAATATTACATGTAAACATGACAAAAGGTTGCAAATACATGAGGATTATACATTTTAAGTACGAGAAAAGTTTATAAAGTTTAATTCCAGTTAATCAATTTATATTAACAATAAATGTTATAATGTAGATGAAAAGAGTAGATGCAAAAATCACCATGGATCCGCTAGGCGCCATATTTGATCCGCTGGGCGCCATATTGGAAACTCAGCTGGTATCCGACCAACCCCACACTACCACATCAGCTGATCAATCAGCTGATTATCTTGAGCTAGATGTTCTCGAACAATGGAAAGTCTTCAAGAAAAAAAAAATTAACGCAGGTAGGGTTGTTAATCGTTTCTTGTTTCCTTTGTCAATTGATTTCAAAAACGATCGTTTTGTTTAAGGAAAAAGACAATCACTTTTAAATATGACTCACTCGTTTTGAACTTTAAAAAAACGAATAACTATCGTTTTTGAGTACGATCATTTTGAATACAATCCTTTTCTAATACGATCGTTTTTGAATACGATCGTTTTTTATAAAAATGATTAGCGACCGTTTTTTATACGATTGTTTTATAAAAAACCATGTTTTTGAAAAAACTATTGTGTTTGAAAAAATGTTAAGTATTGATGCCCTTCAGGTCAGTTTCCTCTCTCCTCCTCTCTTCATGAACGATAGTTAACGAAGGGTATCGGTAACGAAGGGTCATCGTTAACGAAACAATGTGTATAAAAATGATCGTTTTAAAAAGAATTTTTTTTTTAAATCGTTCGTTTCGTTTTCGTTTTTTCGTCGTCGTTTTCCTAACTAAACAATCGTTTTCAAAAAAAAATGAAAACGGTACCATCCCTTATTACACAGGTCGTTTGTAGTTTTCATACAATTTACATATAATGATGGTAACATATTTAACCCTTTAGGAAAACCTTTTCACTAGTTTTAGTAACAATTTAATACCATATTCAAGTTTTCATACAATTTACATATAATGATGGTAACATATTTAACTCTTTAGGAAAACCTTTTCGCTAGTTTTAGTAACAATTTAATACCATATTCAACCATATTTACAGTAACAACCCTTTTGTGAGTTATTTAACACTTTAGTAACGTGTTTAACCCTCTAGTAAGGTATAATTAATCCTTTAGTAAAGTGTTTCACCCACTAGTAAGGTATAATTAATCCTTTAGTAACGTGTTTAACCCTCTAGTAAGGTATAATTAATCCTTTAGTAAAGTGTTTCACCCTTTAGGAAAGTATTCAATACTTTCATAAACTGTTTAACCCCTTAATAAAGTATTTAACCCGTTACTAAACTGTTTAACCCTAAAATAAACTAGTCAACCATTTTATAATGTGTTTAACCCTTAACTAAGTTTAAATAAACTGTTTAACCATTTAATAAACTGTTTAACCCTTCAATAAACTGTTAACCCTTTAATAAACTGTCTAATCCTTTAATAAACTGTTTAACTGTTAAATAAACTGTTTAACTGTTTAATAAACTGTTTAACTGTTTAATAAACGTTTTAACCCTTCAATAAACTGTTAACCCTTTAATAAACTGTTTAATCTTTTAATAAACTGTTTAACTGTTTAATAAACTGTTTAACTGTTTAATAAACTGTTTAACCTTTAATAAACTGTTTAACCCTTTAATAAACTGTTTAATCCTTTAATAAACTGTTTAACCCTTTAATAAACTGTTTAACCCTTTAATAAACTGTTTAATCCTTTAATAAACTGTTTAACCCTTTAATAAACTGTTTAACCCTTTAATAAACAGTTTAATCCTTTAATAAAGTGTTTAACCCTGTAATAAACAGTTTAACTCTTTATTAAACTGTTTAATCCTTTATTAAACTGTTTAACCCTTTAAAAATGTGTTTAACCCTGTAGGACCTGGATTGGGAGAGGAAACGGAGAAAATTTCCGAGTCGATAAAGAAACACTGGAGAGCAGGAGAGACAACATTTGTAATACAGGAATAATTTTTATTTAATACATTTTAAAAAAAGCGAAACTTGCTTTTGTGAATTAGTTTTTTTGTAAGTTGTACATTATACAATATTAAAAACTAAATGGAATTAAAAGCTTTAAAAACTTATTGGTTGATAGAAACTTGTGGACATAATTAACAATTTGGGACTTAAGCACAAAGATGAAAACTTTCCAATAAGGTTAGTTAATTTATAAATCATAAGAAAATAATCGAATTTTTATTTAAAATTAACTTTGTTCCAGTTGGGAGGAGGGAAGGGGGGTTATTTTTTTTACTTTACATTATGTTCTTCTTGACTACGGCCTAAATCCTTATAGAATAAAATGATAAAATAACATAAAATATAAAATAATATAAAATAACGTTTTGAAAGTCTATAACAAAAGAAAATGTATTCCACAATTTGCAACAAAAGTAATTGAGTGTTTGCCACAAACCCAAATTTGTTAATCCCTATGGTGTAACCTTGGGTTGCAAAGATATGGGGATTAAAAAGTCAAAGTATGTGGCAAAGACTCAATTCGATTCCTTCCTGGTGGTCTTGCATGATTTAGTACTATTTTCAATAACAATTATCAACATTTTCTAAAACTCGAATAACTAAACTAAAAGTTGTGTCCTTTTTCAGGTTTTTTCAAGCAGTTGAAGTTATGATGGTTTTTCGAGGTCTTTTAAAAACAAGGTAAATCTCTGTTAGTGACGCTGCCGGTCAATACTCGGATATATAAATAACCAGAGATGGAAACTTTAGAAACTTAATCCGAATATCCACTGTGGAAACTTTTCATTTTAGTCCTTAATCCACTCTTTTTCTCTCTCTTCGGATATCCGTAAATTGTTTTCTCCAATGAGAGTACAGGAATATAGTTCGTAAATTGTATTGACCAATGACAGCCTTGAAAATAAATTCTATCCTTCTAGAGAAATCCGCAATTTCTAACAAATAAAGTAAATGTTGTCGCCATTTTGTAAATTAATTGGTGAAGAAAAATATTTCCTAATACGTTTGAGATTCTTCTTTAACCAAATTTATATAATTTATTAATAAATGGGTGAGAAATTAAGTGATGGCCCTTCCAGTTAAGAAAACGAACAAACCTGGCGTTCCTGGAATCAAATTTGTTGATCTAAATATTTAATCTTGAGATAAACATAATCTCGAGATGATGTTAGTCTCGAGATTAGCAAAATCAGAGGATTAAGCATTAATCCTGATATCCACCATTCTTAAGTTCCCAGCTCTGAAAATATTTCGACATCACACTTAAAGATTTAACATTTTAACAACTTCTCAGGCGGGGACTTTAATCTCATTTATACATTTATACATTTATACATTTATACATTTATACATTTATACATTTATACATTTATACATTTATACATTTATACATTTTACCATTTAAACATTTATATATTTGTACATTTATACATTTATACATTTATACATTTATACATTTATACATTTATACATTTTACCATTTAAACATTTATACATTTTAACATTTATACATTTATACATTTATACATTTATACATTTATACATTTATACATTTATACATTTTACCATTTAAACATTTATATATTTGTACATTTATACATTTTACCATTTAAACATTTATATATTTATACAGTTATACATTTATACATTTATACATTTTTTTTTAAGATTTGAACATCCGTGATAGTTGCCACAAAAAAATTCGACATTTTTGACATACTGATAGAAAAACAAGCCAAAACAAATAGATTAAAAAAAAACTAAACACTAGCCACAAATTAAAATTTTCTAATCTCTATATCTTAGTATCCTGATTTCACAAACTATAAATTCTAATAGATTAAACGGTCTAAGCTATAAATATGAAAGGTTTACACCATCAAATTAAAAAAAATATCGGGATTAAAAATTAGAGTGGCGAGTGTTTAGTTCCTTTGAACCATATTATGTCAGTGGAATTTAGCTTAAACTTTAGTGTTCAAATGTTTAGATTTCCCAGAAATGTAATATTTTTTTAAATTTTAAATTTTTCAAATTTAAACAGGTTTGTTTAGTTTTCGTGGGATCAAGAAAGGAGAGTCGGTGGAGGAAGCAAATCAGGAATAATTTCATTCTTTCATTCATTTTCCCAGCAAACATTTTCATTCATTTTCCCAGGAAACATTTTCATTCATTTTCCCAGGAAAATTTTCATTCATTTTCCCAGCAAACATTGTCATTCTTGGTCCCAGAAAACAGTTGCATTATTGTTCCCAGTGAACATTTTCATTATTGTTCCCAGTAAACATTTTCATTCATGTTTCCAGCAAACATTTTCATTCATGATCCCAGCAAACATTTTCATTATTGGTCCCAGCAAACAGTTTCATTATTGTTCCCAGTAAACATTTTAATTTATGTTTCCAGCAAACATTTTCATTCATGTTCCCAACAAACATTTTCATTTATGGCCCCAGCAAACATTTTTATGCATGTTCCTTGAATTTCTTAAATTGTCAATATGCCTGATATCTCAGAAATGGTTTGAAGATGTCTCCTGTATTCAACCTTTAACCCCAAGAATTATGCTACAGGTATTTTCACTTAAAAATAAATGTTCTTACAGAGAAACTTCAGATCGTTTTTAAACAAATCCCAACTCTACTCTCTAGCACTAGAATTATATCATTTTCTTCTCAATATATTTCGCCAAAAACTTTGGCATCATCAGGAGTTCGTCCACACTCTTTTGCAGAGTATTGAATGACTCATGGAGAAGTTTAGAGTATAGTCACAATGAATTGTAGATATTCTTAGTTCAGTGTCCGAATTTAATGAACTTAAATCGCGTCTCAAACCACCCAAAAACCGGTTTTAATTCAGCCCCGGCTTAAATCTTGAAAAATTGAATCAAATTTCAAGTTGAACCAATCATATTTGAGCCGTATCTCAAATTCTTTAAATTCGGCCTCAGTTTACCTTGTAAAGTTGTACATACAGTTATTTCCTTTAAAAAGTGGAAATAAAATTGTTTTGATTGATTAAGACTTTGCAAAGTATTTTGTAATTTGTGCAAGATACATCAAAGACAACTTTCATTCTGTTGATTTCATTATGAAATATACATTTGAATGAGGAACACAACAAAGGAATTGAGTCTTTGCCACAAACTCTGATTTTCTATTTCATATATCTTTGAAAACCAGTGTCATGGATCTTGGATATTTCAAACTTAGATTTTTTATCTCACATAATGCATAGTTTAAAATATATAAGGCCTATGACAAAGTGTTTAAAGGATATAGAGATTAGCAAATCAGATTTTGTGGCAAAGCCTCAATTTCTTTGAAAAAGAATGCTTATTAAAAGAAGAAGCAAGAAAGTAAGAATCGAGCTTGGAACAATTAGTTTCCCAAAATCAAGAATGTGTCCAGCCTTAAATTTTAGTTTTGTTCCTAGCGTGTTAAAAAAAAAAACCAAACAATCTCTCTCACGAGAATCTCCCTAAATTATATAATGCATTATATATTCTGTATGTGTACTGTACAGCTTGCTCTTGCCAGTCCGGTACTTGAAATGAACCTGAATTTTCTGTGCTCATTTAACAAATTCCTCTGATACAGATAATGTTGATGAGCTTGAATGAGTTCCAGGTGTATCACCTCCAGGAGAAGGTGGAGCTGAACCGTGTACTGGAATCCACCAGAGGGATAGGAAACCAAGTCCTTCGTAAGTTTTAACTTTGCAACCTTTCTATTTTTAATGGAGGAATATTTGGACTGCCTATTAAATCCGTAGTAAATCGTAAAATTTTCAAAGTTATTTCTTTATTTTTTGTTTAAAAAGTCGTCTTCCATTTTCTGACTCAGTGCATGTTTTGTGTATAAATGGCTTATCAAGCTGGAGGTTTATATTTATATTTCAGGTTCCTATGTTCTCATGTTCTTAGTTAAAATGATATCTTGTTTTAAACCAGGTTAGTTATTTTATATAATTTTTTAAAATCTGCTAATATTTACATTAATTTCACATTTATTTTAGACAAAGGTTTGTTCATGCTTGCTTACAAGGAGTCGTATGAAATACTAAGGTATATTTTTGCTTTGTTTGTTCGTTTAAAAATCAATTTATTTTGGTAAAAGTTACATTACCATCATGTTTGTGTCCAATTGGATGTATGATTAGTCCATAGTTTAACAATAGTGGTACCATTCCAATTTCAGTTCGATATTATTCCAAATAAATTTAATAAAAACCTTTCTCTACAATATTGCTCCATACTATACCCCCTTTTATTTTGTATGCAATTTCTAGAGCTTGTTTATAGCTCCTTTATATTGTTACCAATAAAGTATCCGACTTCGATGAGACATGACTGTACAGTATTCCACGCGGGTCTGCCGCGCTATCAGACTTCGAGACACGACTGTACAGTATTCCATGCAGGTCTGCTTCTATCAGACTTTGAGACATGACTGTACAGTATTCCACGCAGGTCTGCCGCTATCAGACTTCGAGACACAACTGTAGAGTATTCCACGCAGGTCTGTCGCTATCAGACTTCAAGACACAACTGTAGAGTATTCCACGCAGGTCTGCCGCCATCAGACTTCGAGACACGACGTACAGTTTTCCACACAGGTCTGCCGCTATCAGACTTTGAGACATGACTGTACAGTATTCCACGCGGTTTTCCGCTATCAGACTTCGAGACATGACGTACAGTTTTCCACGCAGGTCTGCCGCTATCAGACTTCGAGACCTGACTGTACAGTATTCCATGCAGATCTGTCGCTATCAGACTTCAAGACACAACTGTAGAGTATTCCACGCAGGTCTGCCGCCATCAGACTTCGAGACACGACGTACAGTTTTCCACACAGGTCTGCCGCTATCAGACTTCGAGACTTGACTTTACAGTATTCCACACAGGTCTGCCGGTTTAGTAATTGTAAATTGGCTGTAGAGTCCAAAAGTTGTCCCAGCTCGGACATTCAATTGTACACCGGTTATGCGTGATTCCGTATTTATTCATATAGGCTGATATTGAAATTGATTGCTACTAATCTTAATTCTATCTGTTGCGTGTATAAGAAGAAAATGGTTAAAATCGATTAATACCCAAGAGCGTAGCGCCCTTTTTTATTTACTGAGTTGCTTTTTTCGCTCAGATTGTAAACTTGTTGAATTAAATTTAAAAATACTAATTTAACCTATAAATGTCGAATTCAATTCTATGCTTTCGTATATAGTTGATACTACATAATTTTTTATTTTATATGATCAGAGGGTTAATTTTAAAAATATTGATTCCTGAAATTTCGAGAGTTTTTAACAAAGTTGGCGACATTCTCATTTGTTTCAGCGCCAGTCGTGAAAACGAGTTTTCAACAAATATTAATTTAACAAAATAAAAAAAGTAAAGTAAAAAAATTATTTATTTATGAAATATAACAAAAACATACAAAATTAAGTGTTTCAGGAGAAAATATTTAAAAACCTCTAAAAGTAGAGGTTGAAGGGAATATTTCCTCCCAATTCTAAAATAAATAAAATAGAAATAAAAGGAAAAAGAAAAGGAAAGGATAAGGAAAGTTACATATTTATTGTTTAAACTATATTTAATATAAATTGGTGGTGGATTGTTAGTATTTTTCGACGATGAACTAACAACTTTTAGAAATGAAAATTATAGATTTATTTGTAATGTTAAAAAAAATGTAAAAAAAGCTTTATGGAGTGTGAAAGAGATATGGGTTCAATGAAAAATGGGCATTTTTAAGCATCTTTTTTATTCGCGCTCATTTTTTGACATCCTTTCCTTTTTAAAGTCGTCTTTGCTTTCTTGGATTCTTTTGCAAACATAGGATGTGTTAAAATTAAAACATTTGTTCTGCTGATAAAAATCTTCTATTAAATTCTGTTCAAAATTCGAAATAAGGTTGATATTTGAAAGCTTAGAAAAGTGTCGTTTATTTTCATACCATATTTTAAGGAAATTGTGAGGAGGGAGCAGTCCAATTATAATAGATTTTATTCTAGGAATATAGAAGTCATTTCTGTTTCTAAGATTTGTTTTTTTGATATTTGTTTATAGCATAAAATCTTTTTTAAATGTTGGGGGTAATTGAATAACTAGTTTCTCATTTAGTTTGTGTCCGGTTAATTCCTCCTTACTAGAAGTTTCTCTTCATTGGGTCATTAGTAGGCTTGTACAGGTAATGTGTAGATATAGTAAACATTAGTAGGCTTGTACAGGTAATGTGTAGATATAGTAAACATTAGTAGGCTTGTACAGGTAATGTGTAGATATAGTAAACATTAGTAGGCTTGTACAGGTAATGTGTAGATATAGTGAAAACATAATTAAAACTGGTAAAATTTATTTATTCTTGCTCTCTTCTCATGTGCAGTGGGCTGTTATAAGAACTATTTGTCAAAAACATTATAGCACTGCGAACCAAAATAATAGTGTTAGAAATAGTTAATAAGCAAAAAAAATTAATCTGGCTGAACAGCTTAAAAAGGAAAGTGTATAGACTAATCTAGACCTGACACTAATTCACATCTATAAGAAAGTACACATCGAGTTTCTATAATCCTATTTTTGTCCTGTATATGAAGGTGTGCACTGGAGATGAAATGATAGAGCTTCTAAAGGAGTCATGTAATGATAATAGGACAAGGAACATTATACTTACAGGAGTTATACAGTATCTTTCTTCAGGTTATTTATCATTATTACTATTACAATTATTATTATGATTGTTATTATTATTATTATTATTATTATTTGATTATAAAGAACTTTTTTAGTATTTTTAGAACATTCTCGCCATTTTAAGAACTTTTCATGCCATTTTTGAATATTTACGTAACATACTTTTAGTCATCCCTTTTCCAGAACTTGTCATAAGAACATAACATACTATTAATAAGAACATAATATACTATTTATAAGAACATAACATACTATTTATAAGAACATAACATACTATTTATAAGAACTTAACATACTATTTATAAGAACTTAACATACTATTTATAAGAACTTAACATACTATTTATAAGAACTTAACATACTATTTATAAGAACATATAACATACTATTTATAAGAACTTTGCATACTATTTATAAGAACATAACATACTATTTATAAGAACATATAACATACTATTTAAAAGAACTTTGCATACTATTTACAAGAACTTAGCACACTATTTATAAGAACTTAGAATACTATTTTTAAGAACTTGTCATTTATTTTTAGGATCTTGTCTTGTTATTTATAAAAACTTGGCATACCATTTTTTAGATCTTGTCATGTCATATTTCAGAATAAGTCATGTCATATTTAACAAATGTCATGTCATATTTCAGAAGATGTCATGTCATATTTCAGAATATGTCATGCCATATTTCAGAATATGTCATGTCATTTTTCAGAATATGTCATGTCATATTTAAGAATAAGTCATGTCATTTTTCAGAATATGTCGCACCATTTTTGACAACTTGGCTTGCCATTTTTAGATTCGTGCTTGTCATAACTTTTTAAAGAACTAGTTGAAGAAGTAAAAAAACGAAAAAGACGAATTTTCCTCTTCAAGTTGAGGAGTTTAACATTCTTATTAAATATAAGTTATTTTATTCTAGGGGATGCTTTTCTAAACGCTGGGAAATCCCTGCAAAACCCAAAGGTAACGAAAACTAAGTTTAGTTCCAAATATTTTTGCAAATCAGGATTTACAAACAAAAAAGATTTTTCTTGAAAAACAGAAAACAATTTCAAATACGGGCAGTAGATGTAATTGTAAGGGACTAAATGGCATGTCCGATTGACGATAGTACCTTTCCAAGCTTAGTCAAGAATGACATTGGTAGTCCTGCAAACGTTTAGTCTCCGACAAACCGATGGCAAACAAGTCCAGAATTATTTACCCGCTAACTATACGCCATCGGTCGGTAAAAAATGTTTTCTGGGATGTTTTAAAAAACGTGGAGGGGCCCCTTTCAATAACAAGGACAGTTCCTTTAATGTGACATTGTGCAGGGGATACTGAGAAATATATGGCCTAAGATTGATAACCTTGACCTAGATCCGTTCCTTTCTTGTGTTTCTCCATGGACAGAGGTAAGGATCCAATCCTGTTTTAATATATCGATGTATCATATCCTGTACTAAAATTTCATAAATATACCTATCCTGTATTAATATATCCATGACTAATGAATATACCTATCTTGTATCAATATATCCTTGAATAATGAATATTCCTATACTGTGTTGATATATCCTTAAATAATGAATATACCTATCTTATATTGATATATCTTTGAATAATGAATATACCTATCTTGTATTGATATATCCTTGAATAATGAATAAACCTATCTTCTATTGATATATCCTTGAATAATGAATATACCTATCTTGTATTAATATATCCTTGAATAATGAATATACCTATCTTGTATTGATATATCCTTGAATAATGAATATACCTATCTTGTATTGATATATCCTTGAATAATGAATATACCTATCTTGTATTGATATATCCTTGAATAATGAATATACCTATCTTGTATTGATATATCCTTGAATAATGAATATACCTATCTTGTATTGATATATCCTTGAATAATGAATATACCTATCTTGTATTGATATATCCTTGAATAATGAATATACCTACTCTGTATTAATATATCCTTGAATAATGAATATACCTATCTTGTATTGATATATTGAATAATGAATATACCTATCTTGTATTGATATATCTTTGAATAATGAATATACCTATCTTGTATTGATATATCCTTGAATAATGAATATACCTACCCTGTATTGATATATCCATGAGTAATGAATATACCTATCCTGTATTGATATATCCTTGAATAATAAATATACCTATCCTGTATTGATATATCCATGATTTGTTTAGTTTGTTGCAGAGCATTTTGGATGTAAGCAGTTAAACATTGCACTCAATTCAATTTTAACCAAGGAAACTTATCTATATAAGATAAACAGATAAACAGATAAACAGATAAACAGATAAACAGATAAACAGATAAACAGATAAACAGATAAACAGATAAACAGATAAACAGGTAAACAGGTAAACAGATACACAGATAAACAGATAAACAGATAAATTAACAGAAAACAAATTTAAAATATAAATATAATATGGAGGTCAGTATTACGTACTCTTATACACATATTGCTTAACAAGGCAGAAATATAGTCACGTTCGGTTGCCAATAACGATGATGAAGGGATTCAAATCAAATGTATACCTATGGGCAGTGCCTAAAGGAGTTACGCGCGCTTGCGACGTTGAATTACAAGAAATAGGTAGATTAGTATATATTTTAGGGTTAGGGAAGGCTAAGACAAATTCTGAGCCGAGCGCTGTGGCTAGGACAGGCTAGGGGGCCGAGCGACGCGGCTAGAACAGACTCTCTCTCTGTCTTGTAACTCCTCTGGGCTTCTGTCTGTAATTTGTCTAAAGGATTGTGAAGCAGTAAAAACTGAACGTTGGTGCCGCCCATCATTTTAAGTTTTAAATAGATAGATTAAATTCACAGGTTAAATGCAGCACTGAACTAAATGATATCAGGTAATTTCTTCAAATAAAAATTATATCATTTTGACTTCAAGGACTTTTGATAAAAAAACATTTTTTAATTTTTGGCCAAAAAAGATATATCAAGTACAACTTTATGTGCCTCCACGTGCAAATATGGCTTTGCCCAATTCACAAGGGTACCCTTAAAAGCTATGTTTAACTCTGGTTTTCTTTACAATGCTAATGTGATTTGCGCATTTATACTGTAGTAAAGCATGTAGGAGTTATAAGAATTAAACACTTTTAAACAATGAAAAACGACAATGGGAATCGGTATCGGGGTTTGCTATCTTTTGCACGGAGGGTCACTTGAAATTACGCTTACAGTCCCTTTAATCCTTATATTATTACTTAGTGTTGGTGTACACAAAATACTAGTGAGGATAATTACGCCCAGTCGGATTCAAGGTAGCGATTTCTAAGGGATTGATTAAAGTAATTCAAAAATGCAATTTTCGATTCAAAATATTTTACTCTCTGGATTAACATCAAACTAACAATTTCAAAACCTAGAGCTGAGAACATAAGAATTGGATTCCAATAATCCCGACTGCTTAATCTATATATCCAATGTGGACACTTTTAATTTCCTGCTTAATCCTTTCTTTCTCTCTCTCTTTCCTGGATTTTAATTGGCTGTTTGGGATTCTGCATACGTCACTCTATTGGTTGAATTTTATACACTTTTCAATTAATATTAAGTTTAATAAAAAGTTTAGCTCTGGAAAACAAAACTAATAAAAGTCAACCCGTCCTACTTAGAACTGTTTAACCGTGGTTCTACCAAGTTCCCCAATCAAAATTTGAGGCAATTAGGTCAAGGAGTTTTTGAGTTATAAGAAATAAATTTTTTTTTAAAGAATCTTTATTTCAGAATTATTGGAAATGCAATCTTTTCTCTCCATTCTCTCATTAGTCAGGTCATACAGTACTCTCCAAAATAATATGGAATCAATTAAAAAATCATCATGCTAAAATCAAATCAGCCTATTCTCTTGGGAAAAAAGTATCTTTGAAATTTTAAAATGTGTAAATGTCAATTTTTGTGTTGTGTCAGTGAGTGTGTGACAGTGTGTACACCCTCGAAGAAAATATTAGGCTAAAACGATGTTTTTGAGTTTTTAAAACGATCGTTTTTTGTTCGTTTTTGTCTTATGTTTTCACCTAGGATAACAAATTTGCACGTTTGATAATAGTAAACTTCTACAGAAGTCAATTCAAATCGTTGAACCCGTAAATCTTTTAAAAGTCCAAAGTATTAAAAGTTCCTGTAAAACGAATCCAGCAATTGTCTATCGCTATATTTCAACCTACAGGGTTAACCACAAAGAATATGAGTTAAGAACAGATTTAAACTCTAATCTTGAAATCGCATCCTTTGGGGTAACTTGCAACTTAATTAGTCACATAAAAAAACACCCTGAACCTTCTGCAGTTAATATCTTAATCTTAAACAATATGTAAAATTGTAATTATAGAAGTTATGTAATGCCAATGGAAATGGAAATATATTTGAATAGAGTAATATGTCTGAGTAAAATTTTTTTTTTACATTCTATACTGTTTTGAGCACTTAAAATACTTATTTTTAATGCTTATTTCTTTTTAAAAATTTGCGGAGGACTACGCCCCCCTGCTCACTACATTTCTCTCGGTACTGTACCCCATATTATTCACACTTTGACCCCCCGTTTTTAAAAAGCTGGATCAGCCCATGATTCTGACATTAAGACAAATTAATTAATCGGGCAGGCTTGATCCCACCAAACAACAACTCAGCTTTTAACTTCCTTACTTCCAGAAGTCGTTTAATCCAAACAGATTATGACACTTTTTTCAAAATTCAAACTACTCTTCTCTCCTTCTTAGTTTTAACCATGGATTATCTTTAAAAGAAACTCGAAAGTTTTCTAAATATAGTTTTTTTTTACAGAGATGAGAGTTTGAAGCTGAAATTAAACACCAGGTTATATTTGATTATTAAATTTTAAAGAATAATTCTAAGAAGTTGTAAACTATTCTTTGGAGCTTTATTTTCATAAATTTTAGTAATTTAAACATACCACAATTTGTCTTTTCAGGAGGTCGTCTTTCCAGAGATTTTTTATTCGTAGGATGTACCGAAGTTAACAAACAAATGATAATTAGTACAATTGTTCAACTTCAGATTGTTAAGAAATTACGAAATCTCTGTCATCGTTTAAAATATTTAGTCCGGTTAAAGGGACTGTAAGCGTAATTTCAAGTGACCCTCCATGCAAAGAGGCCAATGCCCGATTTACAACAGTACCCTTAAAAGCTCTTTCTGCTCAATTATGAATTAGATATATAGCTATGTTTATTTTCATTTGAAGTTTCGTCAGAAAAACGACGGTTTCTTCCACATTTTGGCGCAGATTAAGGTTTCAAATCAGGCATTGCCTTCTTTGCATGAAGGGTCACTTGAAAATACGCTTACAGTCCCTTTAAAATGGTCCTATAGGGAATTTAAATCAATGTAGCACTTGAAACTAGTGAAACTCCCCTTCATAATTATAATAATTAGTGTGCTGGAGTGTATTACTGAAAGTGGGATAAAACTGGATTCTCCCGTCACAGTCCAAATAGGTCTTGGCATTGCTAAGGTAACATGTATACAGTGCTGGTACTAGGTACATGTACACTGTACAGAGCACACTTTTTAGAAAAATAATTTTGTTCGTAATAAAACTACTTTTAATAATAGCAAACTTTTTGTTAAAAAAATACGCAAAGAACATCTCACAAAGTCTTAATTCCCTAACCACGCACCTCTGCCCCTTTAACCCTTTAACAAAAGTAAATTCAACCTATTTGAAGCATTCAGTCGGACCTTTTTAAATCATCTAGTCCTGTCCACAGAGCCAGGTACAGTACAAACTGGGATCGGAAAGATTTACCTGGCTCGGAAATTCAAATGTATTACAGCTGACCGTGTTTATAAAATTTGATTAGAAGATTTGTTATATCAAAACGGTTTTGGTACGAACAAATTGTTGATAATGACTTGATAATGTGCTGTTTAACGTCCAAATTGTTTACCTGACGTCCTAAAGTGCTACCTAACGTCCTACACAACGTCCTGATTAACCTCTAAATAGTGTATTAAACGGTCCAATATATCACCTAACGACCTAATGATCTAGTAGATGTAATGTGTAATGTACACTATACAATGAGACCCATAATATTGTGGAATAGTTTATAGTACAGTTAAACCCAGAACTTTGAAGAGATCTAAACAATTTATAAAATGTCGTCTACTGAAACTACTGATAATGGAATGCTGCAGATTATTAGCTTTTTTAAATGAATTAGCTATATGAAGCTCTTTAAAATGAATTAGCTATATGAAGCTCTTTAAAATGAATTAGCTATATGGAGCTCTTTAAAATGAATTAGCTATATGAAGCTCTTTAAAATGAATTAGCTATATGAAGCTCTTTAAAATGAATTAGCTATATGAAGCTCTTTAAAATGAATTAGCTATATGAAGCTCTTTAAAATGAATTAGCTATATGAAGCTTTTTTAAATGAATTAGCTATATGAAGCTCTTTAAAATGTCCCCGCATATTTCATGGCAATTTATTTATTTATACAATTACTAAGAAATAGGTATGATAGTAAAAATTTTTTTGGAAAATTGTGAAAACTACATTTTAAAAATTCTTTCATTGTCTTGTTCTGTGTTAAACTGTAAGACTACATCTTATCAATTATGATTTTGTAAAGTTCAATAAACTTCAGCAATAACAATAGTGCAATATTCACAAACCCGTGTCCGAATTTAATAAATTTGAGCCGCGTCTTAAATCCGCCAAAAACCGGTTTCAATTGAGCGCTAATTCTTAAATCTTGAAGCAATGAATACGATTTTAAGTGAAACCAACCATATTTGAGCCGCGGCTCAAATTTAAGCCGCGATTCAAATTCTTTAAATTCGGCCTCTGTTTTACTTATTACGTTGATTTTGAACTTACTTTTTAAAACTATTTTCTTTACTGTAAATATTTGTTGTAGTATCTTGGTTCCACGGTGAACGCTCTTACTCCCCTTGACCAGGAAAGGTTAGTACTGTACTGGCCATATAATTATGTCCAGTTTCTTATGATCGGACAAACAAACAGACAGAAAACAGAGATTACAAAACTAAATACAGTGATAACTAGAAAACTCTGGAATAGAAGACGACTTTTAGAATCAAGTTTTAACTTTAAAAAGTTCAATAACCATGAAACATAGCAATTGTGCAGTGTAAACAGACCCATATCACAAAAGAAGTAAAACTATTTGCTTTGAAACACTTTACTTAAATATTGCTCTAATGTCGTCTTCCTAATCCATTGTTTTCACTGTATATAGATATACAGATATATATATTCAATTTATTATTCAATCAGAAATAGTTTGACCTATCCAGAACTGTATTAGAATTAAAAGTAGAGTTTTCATTGCATTTTTTGTTTTCGCTTCTAATTGATGAAAGAAATATTTAAATTTAGGCAGGTTTCTGAGCTTATCCTAGGATCAGTGTATGCTTCAAAGCTGGACAGGTTGGTTAAATTTACAAATCAAAGAAATTGTAAAATTGTTTGGATTTTATTTATTTTTCATTTTAGAGTTGAACAACAGGTTCAATACTTGACAGAATGTCGCGCAGCATTCTCACACCTTGACCTGGTTCATGTCAACCTTGTCAGGTGAGGTCAAACTAGAGGTCATGTGAGGGCAAACTAGAGGTCAGGTGACGTCAGACTAGAGGTCAGGTGAAGTCAAACTAGAGGTCAGGTGAGGTCAAACTAGAGGTCATGTGAGGACAAACTAGAGGTCAGGTGAGGTCTAACTAGAGGTCAGGTGAGGTCAAACTAGATGTCAGGTGAAGTCAAACTAGAGGTCAGGTGAGGTCAAACTATAGGTCAGGTGAGGTCAACCTAGAGGTCAGGTGAGGTCAAACTAGAGGTCAGGTGAGGTCAAACTAGATGTCAGGTGAGGTCAAACTAGAGGTCATATGAGGTCAAACTAGAGGTCAGGTGAGGTCAAACTAGAGGTCATGTGAGGGCAAACTAGAGGTCAGGTGACGTCAGACTAGAGGTCATGTGAGGGCAAACTTGAGGTCAGGTGAGGTCAAACTAGAGGTCAGGTGAGGTCAAATTGGAGGTCAGTTGAGGGAAAAATTACCCTCCATTTCATGAGGGGCATACAAACACAAACACAAACACAATGAAAGTCTTGTAGTTTTACTTCCTTGAAAAGAGTTCTATCTATGCAACATAAATTCGCATGGCACATTTACACAGAAATTGCAATTGAAGTCTATTTACAACTGCCTTGCATTAAAATACAGGACATTACGACACTATGTTCCAGATTAAATTAAATAATTTTGTTCCTTTATATACCGAAAAAACACATAAAAATTCAGAATTTGTCAGTGTTAGTTGAACTGGCAAGGAAGAAAGATGTTAGATTCATCAATTATCTTCCCGGATTCTGAGGCGTTAATACAGATCAAGGAAGGCAGCCGGAAAAACTATCTGAGAGCCTTCAATCAACTCAGAGACTTTATTGAAGATCAGCTGGAGTCCAGACCACCAACTGAACATGAGTTATTAAAATTTGTTCAACATCTTAGAGAGGAGAAGGGAATGGCTTCATCCAGTCTTTGGACAATCTACAGTATGATCAATTCTGTTTCAAAGGGAAAATATTCATTTAATCTTAAACAGTACTGCAGATTAACACTTCCTTCCCAGTTTCTACTACTGTTGCAGAGGTTGCTGTTGTGGATAAGGAGAAGGAGATAACAACTGTAGAGTTGAACAGGGGGGGATGAGAGTGGGGAGCTCTGGGATGAGTGGCCTAGTAATGTGGTGGTGAATTATACTGAGGTTGTCACTTAATAATATAGAGATTTTTATCCATCAAACTTTGAAAATGGAAATTATGCATGTATTTAGAAATAAATTTTAAAATGCTTTTTTTCAGTGAAAATCTTAGACATGTAATTTGAATATCTTCCATGACATTATTTCTCATAATGTCCCATCACAATTATGTATTTAATATGCATTCAAAATGTATTTTCCCAGGGAGATAAATAATCTGTCTGCTGTAACACCTAGCCAAGACAGAGGAATTCATCAGGTACAGGGGGTGTATTTATAAAAACGCTTTAAAATTCAAGGTTGTATAATAAGACTGGTTACTCTTGATACACTCCAACGTACAAAAAAATGTCGTCTGCTAAGATAAATAAATAAAAACCTAATATGACATCACTCTTGCCTCTATAAATAATGATGTCGTATAGGACTTTATCTATTTATCTTAGGATATTTCCCGTGCATTGGAGCTCATTGAGAGCAACCATAACTTATTATACAACCTTGATAAAAACACTCTCATTTTATTTAATGCATTTTATAATTCATGCTGTATCTATAATCATAAACATTACGGGCGCGTACACAGGGGGGGGCAGTAGTCCTCTTGCCCCCCCCCCCCTCCTGGGCATTCCAGGGGATGAACGTATAAAAAAACTTTTTTATCAACATTTATTCAATAATTTTTTTCAATTCCCCACTACCCTGAGTTCTACCATTTATATACAAATCAATACACATCTTTATTTTTAAAATTTGAATTATTACTACTTTAACTACCTTCTACTTACCTGACATCAAGCTTATGTGAAAAATAAGGCATTTTATACATACAGTCCCAGGGGAGCCCTGCTGTTAAGTCTATATCAAACCAGCCCCGCTGTTCAGTTTTCTGTGATTGTACAGGGTGTCCCACCAAACATGACAGTTGAAAGACAACTTACAGATCGTCTTATAACTTTGAAATATATTGTGCCATTCAATCATTTGTCATTTGTCATTCGTCATTCTGATTTAACAAGTAAATTTCCTGAGACAATAGTTACAAAGTATTTCCAAAACATACAATATTCAATATTCAATATTTAATATTCATTATTCAATATACAATATCCGATGTTCAATATTCAATATAAAATAAAGTGACGCCCATATAACTGTGGAATTGAAAGACGACTTTTAAACTTAAGTTATGACTTTAAACAGTCCAATATACATTAAGCACACCATGCAGTCTGCACAGCCCCATTTGAGGTACAGTGAAACCCTTAATAACGAATACATCGGAAGAATTTATCAAATGTCGTCTTGACAATTTTTCAATGAGTTTTATACTATATTACGTAAATTTCAGCATTTGCGAAAATATAAATAAATAGCCATGAATATGCGGGAACAGTTTTAAAGAGCTCCATATAATCATTTAATTACAAAACTAAATATCTGCAACATTCCATTATCAGAAAGTGAAGAATACGACATTTGATGAATTCTTTCGATGTATTCTTTATTAAGGGTTTCACTGTATATGAAAAGTTAATTTTAAAACTTTTGATTACACTAATTATTTATAACAAATTGCTAAAATATCGTCTTCAAATTGCTCAGTTTTCTGGTTCTCACTATATATAATATTCAATATTTAAAATTCACTATTCAGGCAATGACTGCATATGCATTTATCACTATTCCCTCCATTAGGAAAATATTAAATCTCATAATGAAAGAAAAATATAAATATATGTGTGAATATTTTAAAGAAAAATATAAATATATGTATGTAAATTTCAAAGAAAAATAGGTATATATGTATGTATATTTCAAAGGAAAATATAAATATATGTATGTATATTTAAAAGAAAAATATAAATATATGTATGTATATTTCAAAGGAAAATATAAATATATATATGGATATTTAAAAGAAAAATATAAATATATGTATGTATATTTCAAAGAAAAATGTAAATATATGTATGTATATTTCTAATAAAAATGTAAATATATGTATGAATATTTCAAAGAAAAATAACGGCGAAGCCCATACAAAGTTTAAAAATAAAATTAAAGAATTGGAACTAATTAGATCTGGACGACATGTTTAGAGATGGCATAATTTGTGAGATTAAAATTTTGCATTTAAACTAAAAATTTTCGAATTTTTTTTGCAGTAAAAAATTTCTTATGATTTTTATTAAATGGGTCCATAGAAGTCCACAAACAAGGCTTGAACTGTATATTCGTACTGCAGAGACAGCATTCCAGGTAAATCTTGTTTGAGTTGGGGAAAGTGTGTACTTTAATCAAGCGTAATTTCAAGTGACCCTCCATGCAATGTCTGATTTACAACGGTACCCTTAAAAGCTTTTTCTGATCAAGACGAATTAGATATCAAAATTTCGAGTCAGAAAAACGAAGGTTTCTTCAACATATTTTATTAGATTAAGGTTTAAAGGGTACCGTTGTAAATCAGACACTGGCATATTTGCATGGTGGGTCACTTTAAATTACGCTTGCAATCCCTTTAAGGGACTGTAGACATACTTTAAAGTGACTCTACATTTATATATTTTAATATTTGTACATTTATATATTTTAATATTTGTACATTTATATATTTTAATATTTGTACATTTATATATATTCTGAAAAGCTTTGTCTGATCAAGTATGAATGAGCATATATATCCATGTTTTTCTCTTATAATATTGTGTGATGACTTACGAATTTTATATAAACAAAATGGAAAAAACTCTCAGAATCCAACACTTTCAAGCTAGACACACGACGATATATCACATTATTGATCAGAGACAGGTTTCAAGGGTACTATTGTAATTCGGACATGCTCTAAATCGAGGGTTACTTGAAATTACAATTTTAACTTAAAACTTCATAATTTTACATATATTTAGAAGAAGTGTTATGAGCAGGGAGAAGCTTGTCTTAAAGGTGATAAAAGCTAAATATACAGGGTTACTCACATTGCATAGGATCGTACTTTAATGACGACCTATAAACGTAAATTTTCGCTCAACCCTCAAAGAATTCCTCGAAAAAATTGCCCCACAAAAAATAACTTTTTAAAGACCGTTGAGTGATTTTATAAAGAAAATTTAAACTTCATGAATTCCGTACTGTCATCTCTATAGTCTGATCCTTTGGGGGTAAGACTGTATAGAAGATGTAATAGGAAACTGATCATCAAACGTTTTTAGGAAGTACTCTTGTCGTTTCCAGGCTTCCCGAGTTGGAAAAAGAAGATGGCGGATGGTTTAGGTAAAATCCGCCATTTTAGAATTGTCGTGTACATTTTCACTACTGGGTTTACTTTTTAGTGGATTTCTGGAACTAGTGCTGAGAACTGTATCAGCTGTTCAAGAACTTACTGATGAAAAATTACTGCAGATTACAAAGTGAGTGTTATCATAAAAATGAGTTTAGCAGAAATGGGTCAAACGTGGATTTTTTTCAGAGAACTCGTTTCTGCTCTATTCAATGTTAAATGGAAAGCTCCAAAAGAGAAGGTATAAATTTCAAAATGGATTTTTTATAATAATTCCAGATGTGCTGGGTGTGTTTTCTAAAGAAATTCGTCTTTTAAAAAGATCATTAACATTTTTAGATTTTTCATAGCAATTTCTAGTGTTAAGAATCAAACCTTTCTTTCTTTATTAATTGCTGACTGTTGTTTATAAAATTTTTTGGAAATTGTAGAAAAGTTCAAAAGAGGGTAATGTTAGGAGGACTAAATTGTTATCTATAAGTATACTGTAGATATGATTTACAGTGATATTCCATTTATTGCAAGGCATATCTGATTAGAAACGATACCCTTTAAATCTTTCTCAAATCATCATAGGCGCGCGAAGAATTATAAATCAAGATTAAAGGTTTAAAAGGGTACCACTGTGAATATGACATGCCGCTCATGTAAAATGAATGTCACAGTCCCTTTAGCTTTTATTGCGCATTTATCAAATGTAAAACATTTTAAATTAATTGTAATTGTTTAGAACAAAGTGCAGAAAGCTATTCTCAATATTCTGCAAAGGCTAGAAGAGAAGAAAAATGATGATATTTTGTAAAAAAATATATTTTGATTTGTCAATTTTGATTGTTACGAAAAATAAGCCTAAAACTACTTTAAGAATTTTTAAAAATGTCGTCCTTTTTTTGTTATTAAACTTTGAATCCTTATTTTGTATGTGTCTAAATAAGCGTTGGATGGTTTTAGCATCTAATAAAGTATTTGAAATAAGGTTAAAAATATACGCATGTAAAAAATACAATGAAGACGACTTTCGGTTTCAATTGTGATTTTTATCAAGTTCTTAAACAGCATAGATACACAAGTAAATGGAAGTAAATAGAAGCTGTTAATTAAAAAAAAGCTTAAATATTTATTTACATGGAAACCTGTAATTTGAAAAAGCTTGTTAACAATAAAAACTGAAATAACTGTAGTATAAACACATTCTACATTGACGTAATTAAACAGTTAGAAACAACTTTTTTCGTTAAAAATGAAAAATATTAAAAACATCTTGTTTTTCCTTGATACGTTACAGTAAAATGTAAACTAACTCCCTTTTACTTCCAAAATTTTTTCATATAATGAAACCCATAAATCTGTGGAATAGGAGACGACTGTTAGACTCAAGGTAATTTCTAATAGTCCTATGAACATCGAGCACTTGCAGCAGTGAAGCTAATTTTTCATTTAATTGTTTTATAACAGAAAAAAAGATTGTTTGGATGCTTCCTATACCACAGTTTTATGGTGAGCAATTTTGCTAACATATTTCGAGGCGAAATTTCATCCAGAACTATATATTACTAAATTACGTTTGCGCTTCTTTTTATCAAAATTGCTTGCAATGAATTTCAATAAGAATCAAAATTCTACCGAATTACTTTTATAACTTAAGAATTTTTCATTCCCCTTTGGTCCAATTTGTACAGCTACTCTTACTGTCATTTTTTCACACTTTAAAATAGGCTAACAAATGATTTACAAATAAACAAAGATTTTTAATTTCTTTTAAAAACAAAATTCTTGATTTTATATTTCACACTTAAAAATCATTTTTATTAATTTTAAATAATTAACTAAAAAATGTTTTAAATCTCATCAAAAATACCTTAAAATTAAAATAAGGGGGTTAAATAAACACAAGAATAAGAATCTGATAACAGAAGAGTAATGCAAGAAGCTAAATAGAACCTTCTCATCTATATATTTTCATGTAAATCTTGAAAACTAGGGTTTACAGCGAAAAAGAAAAATGCGAAATTTCCGCATTTTACATTTTACGAAAAAAATAGTTTAAATGAGCAAAAAAATAGTTCAAATGAGCAAAAAAATAGTTTAAATGAGCATGAAAAAAAAGTTCAAATGAGCAAAAAAAATAGTTCAAATGAGCCAAAAAATAGTTCAAATGAGTAAAAAAATTGTTCAAATGATTAAAAAATAGTCCAAATGTGCAAAAAAATAGTTCAAATTAGCAATAAAAATAGTTCAAATGAGCCAAAAATAGTTCCAATGAGCCAAATATCTCAAATGAGCTCAAAACATAGTTCAAATGAGCCAATAAATAGTTGACCAATATGATATTAATAATATTGGTCATGTGGCTGCAGCACTCGGCTCCCTAGCCTGTCTTGGCCGCAGCGCTTGGCCCCCATCTGTCCTAGCCGCAGCGCTTGGCCCCCTAGCCTAGGATCTAGCCGCGGAGATCGGCCCACAAAGTGTCGTACTCGTAACCCAACCTAATTCCCTGAAATTGTACAAAATATAATTATTTTTTGTTAAAAAAGTTGAAATTTAGGCCAAGTACAAAAATGATATGCATGCGGGGGAGGGAAGGGGGCCATGCAAAAAAGTAGTTGAAATGAGCTAAAAAATAGTTGTTCATTTGAACTATCTTTGAACGATCAATAGTTCAAACGGCAGTTATAGTTCAAATGCTGATCCACCACTAATAATGTGTCCTCAATTTATAGTTTTGAACCGAAAATCACTGATAGTAGGACAGGCTAGGGGGCCGGGCACTGCGGCCACGAGTCCATATAGCAGCTGTTAAATCACGAGCTATATAGTTGGTCGGATGTTTAATATAGCGGATTTGGCGTAGGTCAGAAGTGGAGTATAGCGGATTTGCGTAGGTCGAAAAATACACCACCTTTTCTCTATGAAAAGGCTAATCAACGACAGTTTCTGTACTCTAAGAATATATTGCGGCAAAGATCCACGTGTGTCTGTTGGTAAAAGTAAAAATAAAACTTCTGACAACTTCTGAAAAAAATTTCTGAAACATAAAATTTTAATTATAATTAGTTTATAAAAACCATTTTATAATAGTTAAACAAATGTGTCAAGTAACGTTATGTGTATGTATCGTGACATAGGTGAAATCAAAAGGTTGCGTAATATATTAGACGCAATATTTCAGATTTTAAATGTATGAAAATGTACGCAGACTGGATACCGCAGACTTTAGATGTAACAACGTTAATTCTCTTGTTTATGATTCTATTTCTACTTTTATGGATCGGGTCTTCATGTCTGAAGGTATTTCACTCGTTGACTTCTTTTATAATTCATATCGGCAATTTCACAATGATTGATTGATTGATTGATTGATTGATTGATTGATTGATTGATCTCTAGGTTGACCTACTGCTGGTGAACGGGCCTGGTTTATGTTTACCTGTTTGTATTTGCTACAAGCTGACCCATCGATTCCTTCAGCTTATCTATATAGAGTCAATATGCAGGCACTCGTCAATCAAAAAAGACATCTTTTAAGTTAGTTCTTTATTTCTTTCACTTCAAATTAATTCAGTTAATTCTAGATTTCTGATTTTTTAAATCGATGTTTTGTTCTGAGGATTTTTCGGGATAAAAAACTTGTTAAAAGTCGTTCTTCTTTTAAAACTAAAATCTGGATTCACTTTTCAATCAATAAATCAATAGACGTGTTTTTCTTTAACTTTCTTTTCAGCTATGAAAATATTAATTTGAATTGGATGAAAATGTGTTTAAAAGGGTTAGCATGTAAAATGATTGATGAATATTCTAGAGTTAAAACCCTCTCTTTGACGGGTCATATTGTCCGCTGGTTTGCTTCCGTCACCCTGGTTCAATGGCCGGAGCTTGCGGAGAGATACAAAAGGACGACATACATTGGACGAATTTCGTGAGCTTTAAGTTTGTATGGACGACGTATCGAACGAGAAGTGACTTTCAGTTGCACAGGATTTATCTATCGAGCTGTGACCAATAGCCATCAAGAAGAAACAAGATTCAGGAATTATTTAAAAATGGCGGAAAGTATTCAAAAAGGGCGGGAAGTATTCACAATTCCTGGAAGTACTCCAAATTGCGGGAATGATTTCAAAATGGCGGGAAGTGTTTTCTAAATGGCAAAAGCCATGATCTTCATGTTGGACAAAAGAGGATATACAGGAAATATAGAAAATATCCATATTATGCCAAGGTTTAATTTATAAAGTTGAGGTTTTACTGTTGAATTTACACATTAAATATACTAATCTATACAAGGCCTCTAAATCTACATACTTGTTCAATTGTGATTGATTAGTTGGCCTAATTTTCTCATTGCATCTATTAAAGGATAAAATCTAAAATGTCGCAAATTTGTAGTTTGTATACTATACATGGAACTGTTTCAGAAACCGGTTTTAGACTAAAATGGCGCAGTGTTGTAAGCTGATAAAGGAATGTTTCATGATAAAGCTAACAGATTTTTCTTCTTAAAAACATAAATATTATTTTTTTCTCAAAGAGGGGACAAATTCAATCATGAACTATTGACAGAAATCGTTTCCGAACTTGAACGACGATATCTACGCCTATCTTGAGAGTGTTCTCGAAAATGCAACGGAGGACATCGAGACCGTAGAGGACGTCTATGAGGTAGAAACAGGAGCTTAGCCGGGGGTAGGGGGGCTTATGGATGACACCCCCCCTCTTCTAAAAAATTGTTAAATTTTTAATTCTGAAAGAAAGCCTGGACTTTTTATTAACTCATGAGCAGACAAAGTTTGCAAGGATACAATTCAAATTGGGAGACTTTCTATAAATTAGATTACTTGAAATTACGTCTCAAATCCCTTTAAACCAGTGCTAAGGATCCATTTCATTATAATGCGGATCCATTCCCTTTAAACCAGTGCTTAGGATCCATTTCATTATGATGCGGATTCATTTCATTATGATGCGGATCCATTCCCTTTAAACCAGTGCTTAGGATCCATTTCATTATGATGCGGATTCATGTCATTATGATGCGGATCCATTTCATTATGATGCGGATCCATTCCCTTTAAAACAGTGCTTAGGATCCTTTCCATTATGATGCGGATCCAGTCCCTTTTAAACCAGTGCTTAGGATCCATTTCATTATGATGCGGATCCAGTCCCTTTTAAGCCAGTGCTTAGGATCCATTTCATTATGATGCGGATCCAGTCCCTTTTAAACCAGTGCTTAGGATCCATTTCATTATGATGCGGATCCAGTCCCATTAAAACAGTGCTTAAGATCCTTTTCATTATGATGCGGATCCAGTCCCTTTTAAACCAGTGCTTAGGATCCATTTCATTATGATGCGGATCCAGTCCCTTTTAAACCAGTGCTTAGGATCCATTTCATTATTATGCGGATCCGCCCTGATAAAAATGTATCCGGAGGCCGAATTTAAAGAATTTGAGCTGTGGCTTAAATTTGAGACGCTGCTCAAATACGGTTTGTTGTTCTTAAAATTGTATTCAATGTTTCAAGATTTAAGCCGGCGCTCAATTGAAACCGGTTTTTGGAAGATTTGAGATGCGGCTCAAATTCATTAAATTTGGACTCAGATTCAGGTCTTGGAACATATCTTTAAGTTTTCTCAAGAACTGGATCCTAAACACTGCTTTAAATATGAATTTTCTGAACATAAATATATTTTATATTGGGGGAAGAAGGGTCCAAAAATCGTTCACTAGGACAGACCCTAGATTTTTCATATTATTTTAAAATATTTGAATTTAATAACATTTAATGTCGAATCATATCATACAGCAAATTAACATAATTACTTATGAGCCGTTTCCCAGTAAATTCTTTATTTGTTTTCCTTATGTTTCTTTATAATTCCTTTTATACAATAGAATATTAATACAATATCTTATCTTTGCCTGTAAATCTAAACAAAAGTTACGATTTCGTTTCCCAGTAAATGTTTTTACCGACTTTATGTGCCGTTGGCGAAGATGTCGGGTAAATAATTCTGGACTTTATATGTTCGCAATCGGTTTGTCGGGACTAAATGTTTGCAGGGTTGAGAAATTTCAACTAAGATAAGCAAATTTTCGTGGTTCTACCGAGTTCACCCAGTAGCAAAATTTGAGACAAATCATTATAGAGGTTCATGGGTTATAATTGGAAGGTCCGTCCTAGAGAAGGATTTTTGGACCCCCCCAGGCCCTCCCCCTCCTATCAATTTTGTACATGACCAAATTAGTATTTATTTAGGGTTAGATTAGGTTATGACACTTTCTGGACCGAGCGCTGCGACTAGGACAGGTTAGGGGGCCGAGCGCTGCGGCCTCGGGTTAGGTTAGTTAAGACACTATCTGGGCCGAGCGCTGCGGCCACATGGTCAATTATATCCATGTCTAACATATAAGATCCATGTATAAAATTGATAGAANTCCAAAAATCGTTCTCTAGGAAATTACCTAATTGGATATGCAAGCAAAGAGAGATAACTACATCTAAATTTAATAACTTGACGACTGGACCTTAAATTGACTGAATCTTTTTGAGAAAACCCATTAGGAAAATTCATTTCAAATTAGAATGTTTTATTAAAGTGTTCTATAAATTCAAGAAATAAACACACGAGGTAACTGATTTTAAAGGAGATTAAAAGTGATTGAATTTATTTGTTCAGATTGAAGCCAGAACTTCAAAAGGATTCAGGGACAAGAGAAAGAAAGCATGCACGGCCGTTGTTTTAGGTAATATATTGGGGGNGATTGTACTGTTCTAAATTCTAATAGGCAGCGGCCGTGGGTTAATGCGATGGACTAATGTATTTTGTGCCACCGTCACAGAGTTAGTGTAATTGTTTTAAAGTTATATTTTACTGAAAATAACGTGTCACTGTAATTACATGTTACCCTAATATAAATATGGGTGGAAGATTTCCTTGTTTAGCTTTCAAGTGTTCAATTTTGACAATTTTCTCCAGTGTAACTGAAGCAATAACCCATTCACTAGAGAAACTTAAAGAGTAAGAACATTTATGGTTTATACTGTATGATATCATATTCGAAACATGTATTAATATCGAGGAGTAGCTGTTATCGTGTTTGAGGAAGGAGGCTGACTGGTTCCTGTCGATTCCGGTTTTCCTGTTCCCGGATTTTCCTTAGAATTCGCGAGCATTCTTAACCAAGTTATTACTACAAAATCGCAACTATAATAATCTTTTAAATCTCATTGATTCTTCTAAAAACTTTTAAGGATACTGTTGTGGATCATAGATATTATTTCTACATTCTACTGTCTCTAAATGTATTAGAATTATACTCTTCGTGTGTGTGTGTGAGTAAATATATATATATATATTTTTATCGCCCTGAATAAACCCTATAAATATAAAGGTTCGGGTGGGCACACTACTGGATTAACCCTATCTCTATTAAGGTTCTGGTGGACACACTACTGGATTAACCCTACTACTGGATTAACCCTATCTCTATTAAGGTTCTGGTGGACACACTACTGGATTAACCCTATCTCTATTAAGGTTCTGGTGGACACACTACTGGATTAACCCTATCTCTATTAAGGTTCTGGTGGGCACACTACTGAAATGTTCCGACTATTGTGTAAGCTAGACAGGGATGTATTTACTCCAAGAATATATTACATAGCGGACACAGATAAATTCAGTCACAAGAAACTACAAGACTTCGAACAGGTGTTGTTTTACTTCTAAGCCAGTGCTAATCTTTTTCATTTTGATCCGCATCCTGGACCGTCTTGAAAAAAACCGGATCCGGATCCAGATCCAGCTCTTGAATATTTACAAAAAATGTTTAATTTATTTTCCAGCAAACTTATGAGCTGAAATTTGATGGAACATTCAGAGTTTATGAAAATATAATTTATCTCGTATCTTTGACTTGCTTTTCAGATTTGATTTCGACATTTGAAAGGACTTTTAGCGTAATTTCAAGTGACCCTCCATGCAAAGATGGCAATGTCCGATTTACAACGGTACCCTTGAAACCTTAATCTAACTTAAAAATGTGGAAAATTTTCGGACTCGAAAAGTGTTTTATTTCTATGAAATCTCCCTTAAAAAATAAGAGTCCCTTTAATATTTCAGGGCAGAAGTGATTTCCAAATTTTCCGAATTCCTAGAGCCAGGGAGGTCGGGCAGAGCCCTCTCTCTTCCATTCTTTCATTCACTAGGTATGAATATCCTGTAATCCCGCCTGGGGTATATATTTTCTTATAAAATCAGCCCCCCACTCTTGAAGATCATGGTTTTCACCTTTCAGCAGATGTTTAGTATTCTTGCGCGGAGCGGTTATTTTTGTTAAGAGCTTTTTTTCGCTGAATTAAATCATTTTTGGGTCTAAAATAGAAATAAACGAGGAATTTTTCCCTTTTTTTACATTTAATTTAACCGTACGGAAAAGAAATGGATTTATATATGCATGAAATCAGATGGCAAGTTCTTTTCTTTTTTTAAATTCTCTTCTCCATATTTGATGCTTGTTAAATTGTTAATGGCATTTCACTGGCTCCAGTACAAAAGGTAGAATTACAAAAGGTAGAATTACAAAAGGTAGAATTACATAAGGTAGAATTACAAAAGGTAGAATGACAAAAGGTAGAACGATCATAAGGTAGAACGACAAAAGTTAGAACGATCAAAAGGTAGAACAAACAAAAGGTAGAATGTTCAAAAGGTAGAATTACAAAAGGTAGAAAGTTCAAAAGATAGAATTTTTCAAAATAAAATTTTTTTTTTAAATGTCAAAAAAGTCAAAAAATAATGTATCTTATTTATTAGGACTAATTTTTATTTTACAAATGTACATAATTTTAATCCATGCCATGCAATAATTTTGGCAAGCTGTTTCATAAGGTCATGTTTTTAATCCTAGTACGTTTATCTCTGTTTTTGTTTGCCAGCGTTCTCAGTGCTGTTTTCACCACTGGCTGAATCAAGAGGAGTTCATATTTCTGGTTGTCAATCAATGTTCTTTTCTTCTTTTCATTCACTCCATAGTTGACCAACTTCTCCATGCTGAATTCAACCGAGAAATGCAGTTTTGTGAATTTTTTTCTGAAAATTCGCGGATTTTCTTGTAAAAATTAGAAAATTTTCTTCCTTCTCAAAATAAAAAAAATTCTACCTTTTGAACGTTCTACCTTTTGAACGTTCTACCTTTTGATCGTTCTACCTTTTGTAATTCTACCTTTTGTACGTGACCATTTCACTTAAGAAGGCAAAATCCAAAATCTATTTCTGATTCATTAAAATCTATTTTTTTTTCGTTTTAGAGCTGTTCTTGGTTGTTTCCTGCCTGTAATTGGAACAAAGGTACGTTATTTTTATCGTTTCTTTTACCAAAAACAAATTTTCCAAAATGTCATTTTTTTTCTTTTTTTACAGAAACTTCATTTACCGTTTGATGATAATGAAGTTTTTAATGAAACCTTATTTGTTGACAATAAAAATGTTTGTTTTTAAAAACATAAAGTTTTTTTTTCAATGTTTTGGTTGACGATTTGCCTGTTTCATTCGGTGTCGGGGAAGATCCGGATTCAGGGAGTAATTCTGCGGATCAAATGCTTATTTTTGGCGTGCACAAGTCCTGTGAAATAATTGATTTGCGGGTTAAAAGATATGTTGACTAATTAATTGAATGATTGACTGATTTACTGATTGACTGATTGGTTGATTGACTGATATTCAATGATTGAATGATATTCAATGATTCAATGATTCCCCCAGTTTAAAAATCTTTATTTCCCCTAGAAATTATGTATGATACATTTTCTGAATGGGTTTACTCGCGGAAATGTTGAAAAATTATGATTTTAGGTGGAAATTGTTGAACTTTTGGGTCAAAAGGATCAAAGAATATTAAAAAATATTTCCCTGTGGTAATCTAGCAAACAAGAATTGGCATTAAAAAAGTCCCGAGTTTTCGTAGCTAACACAGAGCAATCATGTATAACTAGTGACTACTTCTAAAGTTCAAATATTAATCTATTTAAAAAAATGTTAGATAAAGTCAATTTCCTATCAACGGAATTTAATTGGTAAAAAAACAGTAAAAATTGGAGCAAGGAAAATTAAAGGACGAAAATCTTTGAAGAAAATGGCGAAAATATTTGAAAATGGCGAAAATATATTTATAAATGGCAAAAATATTAAAAAATGACAAAAATATTTAAAAATGGCGAAAATATTTGAAAATGGCGAAAATATTAAAAAATGGCGAAAATATTTAAAAATGGCAAAATATTTAAAAATGGCGAAAATATTTAAAAATGACGAAAATATTTAAAAATGGAGAAAATATTTAAAAATTTAGATAATATTTGATAATGACGAAAATATTTAAAAACGGCGAAAATATTTAAAAATGACGAAAGTATTTAAAAATGGAGAAAATATTTTAAAATTGAGAAAATAATTATAAATTTCGATAATATTTAAAAATGGCAAAATGTTTAAAAATGGCGGTTAAATCTGTAATCTATTCTAGACTGAGGAGGATATACTTGAAGTTTGCAACTCTATCCTCAATCTTCTAAAACCAGGAATATTTCAGGATATACGATTTCGGGATCCTATATTTCAAGATATAATATTTCAGGATCCAATATTTTAGGATATAATATTTCGGGATCCAATATTTCAGGATATAATAATACGGGATCCAATATTTCAGGATATAATTTTCAGTGACTGAATTTAAAGAATTATAAACGCGCCGTTGAACCGCCAAAAACCGGTTCCAATTGAGCGCCGACACAAATCTCGAAACGCTGAATACAATTTCTAGTGGAACCAACCATTTTTGAGCCGCTTCTCAAATTCTTTATATTCGGCCTCAGGAGAAACCCCGAAACTTTCTCTGTCATGGTTTATATTACAAGCTTCAAGAAAACATTGCCATTTTGTTCAGAGGTTTATGTTTCCATAAAAAAGGCCATTCCCTATACATACATTCTGAAAAAAATAGTTGATTTTTCTGTTATAAAGTACTTGGTAAGGGGGACAACATTTCGATTCCCCCCTTCCCCCTACCCCCCACGTCCCCAAAAAATCCAAAATATTTCTTTAATAATGCTTCTTATATTTTTTATTATTTAATTTAAATAAAAAATGCTGAAAACTGTTGAGTGTAGAGTCCAGTAAGAAAGTGAATGGGATTCAGAAAATGCTGAATGCTCCAGTTCATTTAGGTTAGTTAAAAATATTTTACATCCCAGGAACTGGAACAATACATAAGGTTTTACTTCCCGAGAAACGTAGACATTTTTCCCTCGGAGCTCCGTGGCTTAGTGAGTAGCGTCACATGTCACGCAACTGATGGCGGGGGTCGAACCTTCATCCTGAGATTGCAAAACTAAGATTGCAATCTAGCATTGAACAATGAACATGTTGCTAGCTCCTAGCTCTCCGACCGGCCCCATTAAATTACAGTCGTTGTCGAAGGTTATGACGTTGAATAACATAACATACAAACCTGCCAACACTCAAATCGGCCAGGGTGATGTAATAATTTCATGAAGTATAGGGGTAAATGAGACAGTTGAAACAAACTTCTCTGGTGCGCGACCCTTACCCCACTCAGCTAATACAGCAACATTGACTCGTGGGGGGACACGTGGGAAGCGGATTAGGGACTCGTTGGATTTTTTTTTTTTGGGGGGGGGAGCTCGTGGGACATTTTGAACTAGTGTAGGGATGTATCAAGCTTTCAGGACTAGTACATTTTAAAACTATTTCAGACGGGGGTTGGGGAATTACGCAGAAATGCATTGATTGATGAAATGGTTGATTGATTGGATGATTGATTGATTGATTGATTGATCTGTTTAGGTCAGCTAGCTTCTGACCAGGGTCTGGAAGATGTAAAGGTATTTATTTTCCCATGAATATTTATTTGAGAATCCATTAGAAAGATATCTTCGTTTTTCTATCGTAAAATGAAAAATACCACTTTTTTCTACTATAAAAGAAATAATTTCTGAGAAATCTTCTTCATTCTCCATTCGCAAGTCACTTTGGTAGTGAAACCACAATTGATTTTATCGAGAAATCGAGATAATAGGGATATCTCATTCATCCTTGATCGGACAATGGTTTAAGGCAGTGCTTAGTATCCAAATAATTTTGATCCGGATCCGGATCCAGGATCCGCACTGGAATAAATGAAATCGGATCCGGATCCAGGTTATTTCTATAAAATTCACTAAATTTTTTTAACTATGCAGAATTTTCAAATTTCTTGTCTTTTTTTCGTTTATTTTTTGTGATGAACCATTTAGAAATCAGGAAATTTTTATAATCTCACTTTTTTCATTAATTCAGATTTGGGTATTGAGAGTAAATTTTTTTTGTTGCATTTTTGGTTGATATTTTTCCCCTGGATCCTGATCCGTGGATCCGCATATTTTTGCGGATTCGGATCCTAAGCACTGGTTTAAGGTTATTGTTGCTCATCGGACATGCCACTCTATAAAATTAAATTCTGCATTCCTCCAAGCTCTAGTAGATTTAAGTGTCTTCTTTATATTAGGAAGCTAACAGTATTTGGCTAAAGACGACTGATGACGCGGCACGGAATGTGGATTCTAAGAAACTAGGAAAACAGAACTTGAACAAGCAATGCCAACGTTTTATGAAATGCATATTGATGATAAGACATGTTTTCAGGGAAAAAAATTAATTTTTTAAAAAACTGAATTTTTGCATCATGACCACTTTGGAATAAAAATTATTTTTTTAAAGAAAAAATTTTTAAACATTCCTCTGAAGCTAAAAATATCAATTTTATAAATTTTGAATGTTCTGAAATACAGAAAAGGCGAAGGAGTTGGATTTGAAAAAACAAAATAAAAAAGATGGAAAGGTATTTCGTTTGTTTTATTTAAATACTATTAACTAATTCAACTACTTATCGAATTTATTTATTGAATTGACTAATTTTTCAATATTAATTATAAATTTCATTTTTAATTTTGTCATTGAATCATAGTTTTATTTATTGAACAACTTATTTTCTCACTAAACCAATGATTTTTAATTTATGTATTTAATTATTTATTGATTTATTGAATTATTATTATTTTTTTTTTTTACAGTTAATTTATTTATTATTATTTGCCCATACATACCATTCATTAAATTTGGACTCAGATTCAGGTCTTGGAATTCCCTATTTCACGGAATGCTTGGTCAATGTTAATAATAATAATAATAATAATTTTTTTAAAGATCTTGATATTTATTTACTTATCGAGGTTATATTACAAAGTTGTTTATATGGATTTAACAGAAAAACTATTTTACGATGGTATCGTGTACATACATTAATTAAGAAGAAATCTATTAGTTTCCGGATACATTTTTTCCGCTTTTTCTTGTCAGAATTCATGTTACATTTATATTCGAGTATATTCGAGCAGTTCAAAAGAAAAAACTACATTATATTCAATAGGATAGCATACTTGTGTGCAATGTGACTTAGAAATATTATAAACACGGTGTGTGTTATCAATTATTAGAAAATGCTATAACTAACTTCGTGCATGTTTTCACATAAACATGCTACGGAGACGAGTTCTTTTTTTCAATTAAAGAAGATTGTTGTTAGCTTCATAATGAGAAACATTGACCGTTCCTCGTTAGTTTTGAGGCTACATAATAAAGGATAAAGAAGGAACAATTTAATTATGAAGAAGCTACAGATAACTTTTCACATAAACATTGACCGTTCCACGTTAATATTGAGGCTACATGATATAGGATAAAAGAGGGAAAATTATAATTAAGAGCTATAATAACGAGGAACATTGACGGTTCCTTGTTAATATCGAGGCTGCATGAAATCATCATATCTTGTGAAGTCATGGTTTCTCGGCCGTTTCTTTGTTTCGGTGAGGTATGTCTCAGTTATCCGCAGGTTCAGGAGGCGTTTCAGTTCTGTTCATACTGAATTAGTAAAAGAAAGCATTAGTTTATTTAAAGCATTGGTTCCTACATTGAACTCAAAGAAATCAGGTTTTAAATCATAGAAACTTTATTTAGTGTTGGATTATAAAAAAGTATTTATAGGAAAAGTTTGGATTGGATGTATAAGAACTTTTTGTGAGGAAAATATGGACTTAATATTACGGAATTTCTTTTATTTTTCAGAAGCAAAGAAATTTGATTCGATTTAATTTGGTTAAACCTTTGCAGTCCTATGTGGTCCATGTTCACGACCTTCGCCCTCTGTATTAAATAAGTATAATATTCAATAAAATAGACAAAATTCTGCCAGGCTCAGCCGGATCCCATGAAAATCTATTATTACCGTTATATTTTCGCAGAAGAGTTCCTATCCGAGATCAGTCCGTCATTCCGCTAGCGTTCCGGTTTCGGTTTATACTAATAATAATAATAATATTTATCTGATTAGGAAATCAAGCCGAACGCTAATAAATATGGATCAAGAGAAGCCACAGCATCTCAAGTTATCAGGTAGGATCAAGGAATTGTTTAAGGATCAATGTTTATATTTAAAGAATTGTTCACTGAAGGATCAAGGTTTATATTTAAAGAATTGTTCACTGAAGGATCAAGGTTTATATTTAAAGAATTGTTCACTGAAGGATCAGTGTTTATATTTAAAGAATTGTTCACTGAAGGATCAGGGTTAATATTTAAAGAATTGTTCACTGTAGGATCAAGTTTATATTCAAAGAATTGTTCACTGAAGGATCAGTGTTTATATTTAAAGAATTGTTCACTGAAGGATCAGGGTTAATATTTAAAGAATTGTTCACTGTAGGATCAAGGTTTATATTTAAAAAATTGTTCACTGAAGGATCAAGGTTTATATTTAAAAAATTGTTCACTGAAGGATCAAGGTTTATATTTAAAAAATTGTTCTCTGTAGGATCAAGGTTTATATTTAAGGGATTGTTCACCGAAGGATCAAGATTTTTATTATAGGGATTGTTCCAAAAATTAAATATTTGTTTTCCATCGAAAAATATTTCAAGAAAGGGCCAAGGGTTGAAAATAAGTTAAAACCAATCTTTTTTAATATTTCAGTAAAAAGGAAGTACGAGCTGAAGCGTCTGGAAACAACAACAGCAAGGAATGTAAACAATAAACAATTTATAAAACCAGTTTCAGTTCAAATGCGTACGCACTTGTGAAATGTAGGTTTTTAAGATAAATTCAATTATACAAAAAAACTAACCTTTGAGGGTTCTTCCAGATATCTTACGTAAAAGATTTATGAAGAGAACGAATCATTTGGTGTACACTGTACACAGCCTAAAAAGATAATTGAGAATCTTAGTTTTGCCCCTGTATCCCCAGATAAATACTCATACTGTAATTCCGTATTCCTGTTTTTTTACAATTGCTCTTAAAACACCATGTAAAGGTCTAATCTAAAGAAATAAAACATAAGGTTGGATTCGGCACTGAGGCTTGCATGTTTTACACTATTGCAGTGTAGCCTAGCTTGTATGGTTTCATAAAAAAAAATGGCAACAGATGACAGAAAATGCGGGATTTTTGAGAATTTTTAATCGCTTTTGCCTCAAAATTTCAATGGTGGGGTTGCACAAAGAATGAGAAAAACTCATTAAATATACAGAGCTGAAAACTTTAGAATGGTGGATATCGAGATTAATGCTTGATCCTCTCTTTTAATCATGTCCTTGTTTCCTGAAAAGTTTATAAAATTCAACTAATCAGAGTCGCGTATATGAAGCCAATAAATTGAAAATTTTTCGCGCCATTTAAGATTAATATACAGAAACGGGTGAAACTCTCTAATTTTAAATAACCGGTTTTTGATTTTTCTCTACTATATCCAAGAAAGAACGGTTTAAGAAGAAAATCAAAATCTGGATTAAGAATATCTCATTTAAAGTTTTCAGCTCAGAGGTGAAGCTGAAGGCTGGATTTGGTTTATTGACTGGAATAAAAAGGAAGATTAAATTCTTTAAAGGGAGTGACCGGCTATGTAAGGTAGTTGAACTGAGTATGCAGTGTTGTGGAAAGCTTCTTTAGGATTCATTTTTTAAAATTATTAATTAACGACGACATAAAATGATAAAAATATTCTACAATAAACTACAGACGTCATGTATAGGAACATGTTGAGAAAATAAAAATTAATCTTATCATCGAAAATAAGAAATTTGTTCAATTATTAGTTTTTATTATCTCATTATTCTAGTTTCTCGTTATTCACAAAGATGTTCGCAGATTTTCTATAATTATTATTGAAAAGACGACATTAAAGAATTTGAAGAAATCTGCGAATAAATTCAAAGAAAATTAGAAATTCAATACAATAATGAAAACGAAATAATCGATTTTAGCATGGATTTATTGACAAATTTCTTTTGTGAAATATTAAGCAGAAAATAAAGAAAAAAAAATATGATATTTGTTTACACCCTGAATTAAGGATATTCACTTGGAAAACTTTGATATCACATACGGGGAGAAGGTTCTGATCAGAGGGGCAGATGTAACTTTAGGTGAGAAATATCGAACATCTTTTTTTTGTAATATAACATTAGGTGAGTTATATCGAACATTTTTATTTGTGATATAACATTAGGTTAGATATCGAACATGATTATTTGTGATATAACTGTAGGTGAGCTTTATCGTATACATTATTATTTGTGATATAGCATAAGGTTAGATATATCGAACATTATGTTTTGTGATATAACTTTAGGTGAGCTATATCGAACATTATTATTTGGGATATAACATAACGTATGGTTATGTAAGGAATTTAACATTTGGTGAGATTTAACACAAAGTTTTTAAGGGAATTTAGTATTAAATGAGGTATTACCAAGTTTTTTAAAGGAAATGTAAGACTGGGTGAAATAAATCGATCTTTTTAATAATGTTATTCACCCCTGTAATTTAAAGATGATATTTATATATATAGTATAATATTTGTTTCAGCATATGGAAGACGATATGGGTTTGTTGGTAGGAATGGATTAGGCAAAACTACAGTTCTTAGAATGATTTCGGAAAAACAGTTGAAGTAAGTAAATCTTAATATCAAATCAAATCAAATCAAATCAAATATTTATTGCACGAAGATTAAAATTTATACAATATAAATATCACATAGAAAAGTATAATCCTCGTGAGGGAAAATTAATCTATTAATTTAAAGGGACTGTAAATGTCATTTCAAGGGACCGATGTCCGATTCACAACGGTACCCGTAAAAGTTTGGTCTGGTCAAGTGTGAAATTTTCTCGTTTGAAATTTTGAAAACTGATCATTTTTAATTGTGGTTTCTCTACTATAGTAACTGAACGGTGATAAGGGTACCGTTGGGGAACCTTTTTAACTAGAGGCTAATTTAAAATAAAATAACATTATTCCTATAATATATTTCTTTCCTTAAGTAAATTAGGGTCAAATTTAATAAAGAGCAAGAAGTAGTTGAACCATGAAGACAAAGTTGAATCTTTTCTCTTGAACTTGAACTGGCGCACAAGAGAAGTGGTTAAACAAAGTCTTCTTGGCTCAACTGCTACTTAACATTTCTTACTTTTGAATTGTCATAATAAACTTACAGAATCAAAATAGAAAGTGAATTTCATCAAAATAAAAATACATTTAACATTTACAATATAAAAAAAGTTAAATTATTTTCCCCGATTTATTAAAAAAAAAAACATAAAAACATGCCTTGGGACAATTGATTTTTGAGGGGGGTTGGGGGGGGGAATGATTATTCAAGAAAATATTCACCCCTGGATAAAGATGATATTTGTTAAGGATACCGAGCCATATATCTATTCTACACGTAGAACAGGAAGTTGTGGGCGATGACACCAGGTATTATATGATATATAATATATTGTAATCTCGAACTGTAAGTTTTTTTACAAGTTTTTAGGATCAGTTTAATTTTAGGATCCATTTAGTTTTAGGATCCATTTAATTTTAGGATCCATTTAATTTTAGGATCCATTTAGTTTTAGGATCCATTTAATTTTAGGATCCATTTAATTTTAGGATCCATTTAATTTTAGGATCCATTTAATTTTAGGATACATTTAATTTTAGTGCGGATCCGGATTCGCCAAGGATAAATATGGATCCGGATTCCGATCATGGTCATAAACATTTTTAAAAAATACTTTTATTTCTTTTTCGCATATTCTTTTTGTCGCATAGTTTTACACAAATACTTGTGAACCATTCAGAGATAAGGACATTTTTTAATTATTTCTTTTTTTACAAAAGTTCAGATATGGGGTTTGAGAGCAATAAGTTTTTTTTTACAGTATTTTGCGGATCCTGATCTAGGAAGCCAAGATGTTGCGGATCCGGATCCAAATCCAAAGCACTGTATGTCCGGCATAACTCAAAAATCCCTTGACAGATTTGCTTCAAAGTGAAGAGTATTGTAAACATTGGCTGCTATAAATTTATTTTTCAGAAACGTTTTAATTTAGAGCAATTGATTCTGTTCTTGAGTCTGATACAGTCCGACATGCACTACTACTAGAGGAGCAAGCTCTTAATAAAAAGGTTGGATTGTTGGATTGTTGGATTGTTGGATAGTTGGATAGTTGGATCGTTGGATAGTTGGATAGTTGGATAGTTGGATAGTTGGATAGTTGGATAGTTGGATAGTTGGATCGTTGGATCGTTGGATAGTTGGATAGTTGGATAGTTGGATAGTTGGATAGTTGGATAGTTGGATAGTTAGATTGTTGGATTGTTGGATAGTTGGATAGT